GATGTGGGTCCACCTGAGTCTCCATCGTCCTGCTGAGGCTGTGGAGCTTGTGGGCTGCTTGGGGAGCAGGGCCAGCTGGTCACCCCATGCTCCCTCGGGCAACACTGGCTCTCATTCACCTAACTTCCTTCCGAGTGAACCCGTATTAGAGACCAGTCGTCAGAGAGCTGCCCTGAGGCTGGGCCACCATGGTGGTGGCAACAGGTGGTGGTGGAGCGGTCACACTATGCTCGCAGCCTCAGGGGATGACCTGCAGCCCTGTTAGTGAGACTGAAATAAACAGCCAGGGGTGCTTCATCCTAATGGGCTCCCTAAGAGCCTGGGTACCAGGGCTGTTGTAAGCAAACTGGGGCAAAGTTTCCCATTCATTTGGCTGCCCCACCTCCTCACCCACAGTCACCTGGACGAGTATTTCAGGAGACTGACACATGGACAGGGTAAATGGGAATAGAATTGACCGCAAGGTCTCTTCGGCAGTGCAACTCCGCATATGCACCCAGGAGGCATGTTGGTCTGATTCACGTAAGGAAGCTTATAGAATAGTGAAGCCACCTTGCAGACATGGATCTGCATCTAAAAGAAAGGCCACTTCAAAGTCCCCACCTGATGTGCCACCTTTGATCAAGGCTGGTGGGCTCGCCTATCTCCTCACCCTGCCTCACCATTGTCCCCTCCATCGCTCAGGGACAGACCCCACCTTTCCTTCCTCTGAGTGCCCAACCTCACCTGCAGCAGCTTCTGGGCTGAGCCTTGACACCTGTCCTCCAGGTGCTGGATGTGACTCTCAAGTTCACGCCTCTTGCGCTGCAGACTGGCCTCGCTGTCCCTCAGAGCCTTCAGAGTCTGCTCGTTCTCCTTCTCCAGTCTCCACAGGAAAGACTTCTCCTCCTCCTGCAGGAAGCTGTGCAAATCCTTGAAGTCATCCTGGATTTTCTGTCTCTGAAGCTTCACCTTCCTCTGGAATCAAAAAGGGTGTTCAGAAGGATGGGACAACCCGTGTGCCCAGACACAGTTGAGTGATTAACTAAGTATGGAGCAGACACAGCGGAATATTCTTCAGCCATGAAAAGGACAGGATTCTGACACGTGCTACCACATGGACAGGCTCTGAATGGGATGCTGAGTGAAATAAGCCAGACACAAAGGACACATGCTGTGTGATCCCACTTTTGCGAGGGACCTAGAGTGGTCACATCA